AATGTAAATGTAAGAAATCTTCAGTCAATCGTAACACAAGAAACCACAGCTCCCAATTTACCGTGAAATGTAAGTATATGTCAAAGATGAAAATATACTCCTAAATCATAGATATATAAATTATCCCACTAAGATTGAATTATAGTCTGGAGTAAAGTTGAGTGTTCACTTAAAAGCCCTGCTACTCTGAGTATCTTCACATGAGGTAGGTGCATATGGGTTGGCATTTCCATGTGTGACGCACTGCGGAAAAGAGGTCTCTGCAAAATAAATACATACAGCATTACCAGGATGATATAAATGAATTAATTTCCCAAACCAGGGAACATTTCAGAGTATTCTTTGCAATTGTAGAAGTGAGCCAACATGTTGAAATACTTGATTCACACATTTCACCATCCCTGGATGTATTTAAAAACTGTTTGGATGTGGTGTTCAGGGACATGATTTAGCAGAAGTTGTTAGAGTTTGGGTAGTTTGGTTAGATTGTGGTTGGACTTGATGATCTTTAAGGTCTTTTCCAACCTGAGCAATTCTATGATTCTCAATTTTAAAGGCAATTTTATGGTCCAAAAAATTCCTCTGTGTGAATCAACATATAGGTCCATAAATAAAATAATCTCAAGGTAAAGCAAGCAAGCAATAGCTGCTTATACTCATATATATTTTAAAAATATAAGGTAATTTAATGTTAATTTTGTAAATATTTTACCACTTTACTTTTCATTTGTGCTTTTGTTCATTTGCTAAAGTGTTGGAAACGCATTCTCAATGAGGTGTTTAAGTTATGAGATCATTCACTGACACGTGTGTGTTGTGAATGCAACTAGTTTGGCACTGCAGTATGTAAATATTATAGAGACCTTCTATATCAACTGGTAACTGTGTAACCTAAACACAGATCTACTGATAACCTCCAAAACTTGTGAAAACCTCACTCAGTGGTGAGGCTACTTCAGAGGGAATGAGTAAAGAAAATGGATGTTAATCAGATTCTCTGTTATCATGCACAGCAAGAAAGAGAGAAGCAGCACAGTGCAGAGGAATGCGCAGTGTGCCTTTGGGAGAGAAATAAAGCAGGTACAGGAAGGAAGCTAGAAGGGAAAGGGAAACAAAGGAAGGAGAAAAGGGAGCAACCTGATTGCAGAATCACCAGGTCTTCTGAAGGAATCAGCAAAGAGCTCCTTATGACTTAGCACTTCACTTATTCCAGAGGGGGCCCACTCCAAGTCCTGCTGGAGCAGTGAAGTTCTGCACATCTCTTTCATGACACAGAATTGCCAAGGCTGCTCTTCAAAGGTTAAATCTGATGAGAAATGCAGGATTTTGTGCCAAAATACTACCATGGGGCATCATTCTGTTTCAGTTATTTTGAGATAGAAGAAAATGCAGAATGCATGCAAAAATTGAATCATAGAATCAGAATCATAGAATGGCCTGGGTTGAAAAGGACCAAAATGGTCATCTAGTTTCAACCCCCCTGCTGTGTGCAGGGTCACCAACCACCAGACCAGGCTGCCCAGAGCCACATCCAGCCTGGCCTTGAATGCCTCCAGGAATGGGGTATCCACAGCCTCCTTGGGCAACCTGTTCCAGAGTGTGCTAGTAGAGTATAAATACATTCTGATGGTGAAATGAAAGGACAACAGAGGATGAGTATATTTTTGTAGGGCCATCTGTGCTATAGAGCTAAAGAAGATTGTGAAAAAGATCATGGTTGAGAATCTGAAAAAAAAAAAAAGAAACTCATGCAATGAAATGTCTGCAATGAAAAGCAGAAAGACAAACAAAATAAAAAGTATTCTTAGTGTAGACAAAGACTGGTTTGATATTTTAAGGGTAAAAAGGCAAAAAAAAAAAAAAAAGCAAACAGCAGTTGCAATTCAGAAGGCAAAGGCAGTTCTTTGTGATATTCATAAAAACGTTTTCTTCAAAGAAAAGTGGGAAAAAAAATGCCATGAATACAATGTGCTTCAAAGCGCATTTACATGAGAAATGAGTGTGTCTGTACTTTGGTTTATGAAATATGTATCGATGTCTGCAATTGCATTTTTGCCCTTCAATTATATTTCATAATTAATAATTTCTGAGGTTTAGTAACAGCACTGGCTTGCTGAATGCATGCTGGTTTGTACACTGTGTGTATACAAACTCCTCTGGCCCTGATATAGCTCCAGAGGAGCTAAGCCAGAGTAATGAAATGGAAATTTGGTTCTGTTTCTTGGAAGCAATTTCTTCAACGCTTACTTATTATTTGGGGCCCTTTCCATTGATAATCTCTTAAATGATAAAATAAAACAGAAGATGTTCCCCTGGAAGTGTCCAACAGCCGTACATTTAATTTAGGTTTAAATGTTCATCTGCCTTCATTTAACAGAGAAAGAGTATCAGTTAACAGATTATATGAGTCCTCACACAAATGCCACAGAAGTTGAATCCAAAAAGAGGAAAACAAACCTAGCAAATCATAGAATCATAGAACCGTAGAATGGCCTGGGTTGAAAAGGACCACAATGATCACCTAGTTTCAACCCCCCTGCTATGGGCAGGGTCACCAACCACCAGACCAGGCTGCCCAGAGCCACATCCAGCCTGGCCTTGGAGAAATAGAGAAATACAGGAGGAAAGTGCAAAACCCTCCCCACACTTCAGATGAGTGGGTCTGATCTAAAACCTGCTGGGATGAGCTGGAGTCCTTCAGTGTGGTGGGTGGATCTCTTCTGATCAAATTCTGTCCGCAAGAGAAGTGGCTGAGGGTGAATATAGCTGAAAAAGTTCCCCACATCTGGAGCAGGGAGAGCAGGACACCAGGGACACGTGGCCCCAGCACTCACTGCCTCCAAGCTGATTGGTAATAATGTGCTGCCATGGGGCACAGTCGGCCTGATGCCATCTCTGTTCCTAAATATTTGCTGCATTGCTCATAGGTATCTTCTGCCCTTTTAGTCTATGGGACCCCAATCTCCACCACCCAATCTCCTCACCCTGAATCTGACAATTTCCATTCGTTCTCCTCTCCCCCACCCCAAACAGTTTAGGTGAGACTTTCAGCTCCAGAAGCACAGCAGTTGCACCCCCATGCAACCCCGTATCACCCCATAACCTCTATTAGAAATCTGTAGCACCGTTTGACCTGCGTATGTCACAAAGTATCAACTGAAGTAACTCAAAATACACACTAAACCGTTTTCTTGAAGATTTAACTATAAATAGAACGACTTGGGAACTTGTTGAGATACGTAAGCCACGAACTTGCAGCTAAATTAGCTCTTTTATTAAGCACCTTCTCTGCTGACAAGGGGAGCTTAGGTGCATATACTGTATTATATATAGGGACTGGGTGAATTATTAAAAGATACCTGGAGAAAGAAGCAATTTGCATTAAAAGTCTGAGGCAATGGAGATCATATGGACCGTAATGAGAATAAAATTAATGCGGGGTTAAAAAAAGGAACAGAAATAAAAGTGCAGCTCCAGCACTGCAAAAGAGATTGCAGAGGAAATGTATATTATTTAAGAACCATTATGCAATGATGTAATTAAAGACTCTTGTAATGTGTGATAACATGCAAAAGAACAAGCAAAATGAGGTTTCTGCGTGCTCGCTGCCTTCCAAAGGCTGAGTTCTGAGTTCTTAACACCCTCAGAATAACCCAGCAATGCACTCTGTCGTCTTTTCTTGAAATCTGAAGTAAAAGATTGTGTCCAAAAGGGAACTTCATACTGACCATGCAGATTGAAGGGTTAGAAGGCATTTTCAGCCGCCCATATAACTCCTTTTCTTTCATTAATAATTGGAAGGGGCTATGTTTAGTCATCTATTTTAATGTAACAGTGCCCTATCACAGCCACACTGACATTCCCATTAGAGCATTCCAGCAACGAGCTTGAACTCTCTCACTGCTCTGTTTTAGGGATGCTTTGAGCTTATTCCACAGGTATAAAATAGAGAGCCAAAGAGGCGTATCAGCGGCTCAGCCCGCACGCATTGGGTATGGGGGCGAGAGGAGGCAGAAGGCCGAGGGCAGGCGGCCGAGGAGAGCTGCGGGCACCGAAGCACCGCGCTGAGGTTTAAAGGGCTCCGGGAGCTCCCGGGCTGCGGGGAAGAGGATGGGGCGGAGGGAGGGAGGCAGGGAGTGAGTTCGCTTGCCGAAGGAAATGTTTAAAATGCCATTTCTTCGGGTTGGCGGACTAAAACGGTGCCTCCCCACCTTCTCCCAGACGCCTGTTAAGAAAGTGCGAGTCACGGCATCATTTTGGAATGACACTTCTCTCGGCTGCGTTTCACAAAGTTACGACAACTAGAGCGGCGTTTCCAGCGGGATGGGAAACGGGCGGCTGCGGAGCGCCCAACTCGCGGAGGTGGCCCAGGAGGGGCGGTTCCTCCGCTTCGGGTCCCCCCGTCCCCAGGGCCGCGCCGACGGCAGCGGGGGGCGGCGGCAGAGCAGGCGGAGAGCCCCTCCCGCCGGGACGCTGCGCGGTCCCGGCACACGCCCCGTCGCCACCGCCCTCCGGTGCCGCCGCGCCCGCACCTCCCAGCAGCCGCGGGGCCGAGCGCCCCCTTCCCCGCCCCTGCGCCAGCGCCGGTGCCGGTGCGGGGCGGGGGGCGGCGGCAGGGAGGGAGGAGGGATGAGGTCATCCTCTTTGCCGGCGTCAGTCAGCTGGGTGGTGGCGGCGGCGGGCGCGGGCGGCGGCGGGCACGGGATGCGCTGCTCCGGGCGGCGCTGCCCTGCCCGCTCCCGGCTCGGGCAGAGCGCGGCGGCCCCGGCAGCCCCCGCGGAGGAGGAGGCAGCGGCGGGCGCGGGGCGGGTGGGCTGAGCGGAGCTGAGCTGAGTGCTGCTCCCGCAGGCGAGCAGGCAGGCAGGCGGCGCTGCGGCCGCGGCCGCCGCGGAGGAGCCGCCCGCGGGCGCGGAGCGGGGACGCGGGGAGCGGCGGTCCGCGGCGGCTGCAGAGGGCGGGAGGCGGGCGGCGGAGGAGGAGGAGCAGGGGGAGGCGCGGGATAAAGGAGCGCTCGCCGCTACCGCTCGCTCTCCGGCGGGGCTGAGTGAAGCATCATGGCCGCGAAGTCGGACGGGCGGCGGAAGATGAAGAAGGGCGGCGAGGTGGCGTTCACACCGCTGCAGAACTCCGAACACTCGGGCTCCGTGCAAGCGCTGGCCCCGGGGCTGCCCGCGGGCGCCGGGCCGGGCGGCGGCAGCGACGACGACGAGGCGCCCGGGGGCGGGTGCTGCAGCGGCGGCGGGGACGGCTCGGGCGGCGGCTCCCGCTGCTGTTGCTGCTGCTGCTGCGGCGGCGGTAGAGGAGGAGAAGGAGGGGGCGGCGGCGGGGGCTCGCGGGGCTCGGGCGGGGGCTCGTCCTCGCTTTGCCTGCGGCTGGGCAGGGAGCAGCGGCGCTACTCGCTGTGGGACTGCCTCTGGATCCTGGCCGCGCTGGCCGTGTACTTCGCAGACGTGGGCACCGACATCTGGCTGGCGGTCGACTACTACCTGCGAGGCCAGCGCTGGTGGTTCGGGCTCACCCTCTTCTTCGTGCTGCTGGGCTCCCTCTCCGTGCAGGTGTTCAGCTTCCGCTGGTTCGCGCACGACTTCGGCGCGGAAGACGGCACGGCCGCCGCCGCCGCCTCCGGGCAGTGCCCCGCTGCCGAGAGCAAACTGCTGGTGAGCAGCAGCTCGGCAGCCGCGGACATCGACTCCGCTCGGCCCTGCACGCCGCAGCGGCAGGCTTCCACTGCCAGCAAGGGCAACGCCAACAGCAGCAGCAGCGGCAGCAGCGGCCCCGCTGGAGGCGGCCCCTCCAGCGGCAGCCGCGCCGGCAGCGGCAGGTCGGCGTCGTGCGCCTTCTGCATCTGGCTCCTGCAGTCCCTCGTCCACATCCTGCAGCTGGGGCAGGTTTGGAGGTGAGCGGGGGCCGGGTGGGATGAGGGGAGAGCCCGAGCCGCGTGCGCCGGGAACTGGGCTGAGCCGTTGGGAAAGCGTGCGAGGAGTCAAGGGGGAAAAAATGGAAAAGAGAAGAGAAAAGGAGAGTGTTCTGAAAACGCGCCGTCGGTGCGTGCGTGCCGGGGTCCTGACGCGCGGACGGGACGGTGGTGCTGCCCGCCGGGAACTTTTCGAGGAGATGGGAACGCACGCAGCCTCCCGGCGCTGTGCTGGTGCTGTCTGCGTGTAATGCCCCTCTCTTTGCCCTCAGAACGCGCTTTCTGCACGATGTGATGCGGTGAAGGAATCAAACTTTTGAGTGGCTGCTGTCAGACAGATCGGGCGGCGGTGGGCTGTGCCGTGCCTTGCGGAGAGGCTGTGCCGAGGTGGGCGCAGGGGGAAGGCTCTCCCTGAGAGGCAGATGGATGACATCATAGTTTGCACAAGTCGCGTTTCCCCAAGTTCGGAGCGTGTTTCCAGGAGGGATTTCTCTGGGGGCTGAATGCTCTGTAAATACACTTAGTGCTGCTCGAATGGGGCAGAGTTCAGCCCGCAGAGTTTTTCGGGGGTTAACTTTTGGTATGGAATCGTGTTGTGCTGTGTGTGCTACAGCTGAAAATGCTTCTGGGGTTTCTTACCTGCTGAGTGGAATGGAATGCCTTCAAGATTTCTCTTCGGGAAACTATTATTTTGGAATTGTTGCATCGGAGAACACAATGTGATGTTACTTCAAACCTCTCTCTCTGGAGTTCTTAATTTCATTCCTAATCTTCATTTTGCTCATGGACAGGCTATTGCTGTGTGCCAGTGCAGTAGCAGCGTGGCTCTGGTTCTGCCTGTGGCCTTCAAGCCTCAGGGAACACAGCAGCACTGCAAGGCCATGAGACCCTGGGATGCCATAACAAAGTATCACTCACTTTCCGGATCCTTAGATTTATTGCAACAAATGGAGTATGTTCACAAGTGGGAAGAATTCTCAGTTCCTGGTGTCATTGATTCCTTCTTTAGTATCTACAGCATAGCTTGAGAGCAAAGCTGATTTTGGAAGGAAAAGCAGTGCTTTGTTGTAGATCTTGTGTGTGCTCTACCTCTGTATATAAACGTGGGGCTTTCTGAATGATCAGGCTTCTGTGCAATGTGTGGTGCAGTTCCTTAGAGGTGTATGTATAATGATTTCCATGTAGAAATTCACACCAATATCCATCAGTACAGATGCTGAATGTGCGACATGCTGAGTGAGATGGAAGAGAGTTTTACAACTCTATTGGAGAACAGAGAGAAGGGTTGGGTGGAGCAGGGTGCAATCGCCCAAGGCGCAGCTCTACCCAAGGAGTGCCTGGTGCTCTCAGCTACTGGTTTGCACATGGAGCACAATTCCTTTTGGCATAAAATCTGCTCCCTGTGGGGATACCTGGTCTTCCATATAGTTGGCTGAGCCTCTTCTGGTCAGGTATAACTTCTCTTCATGTTTTAGGAGTGTAGGAGTACCAGAATATTAAATGGCAAGGAGTGCTAGGGCATTGTTTATATTTTAGCTTGTTATGCCCCCCTCTCCTTTTTCTTTTTCCCCAGTGAAATGGAGCCATAGAATTGTTTGTCAGTGACTTAGCAGTACTAGCGGTTATCCACAAATGTATGAATTATACGGTCAATTGAATGCAGTCTTGCATATCAACGCTTCATAATTAATTAAAGTGACTTCATTTTAATTCCCTGGGTACATCCCTCATAAGGGAGATCCTTAGCAGTCATCTGAAACTAATAATCAGCATCAGGAAGGAGAGACCCTGTCAACCCCTAAAGAGCTCTATGTGTAAACAGAGGCTCGGAACAAGCGTCATCCTTGGAAAATGAGCGCTATTTTCTGGGAAATGAAATGCTGACAAGGAGTAGTCCAAAACTTCTCCGAAGAGTAACATCTGCACTGGCCTGAGCCAACAGCCCCCTGAGCATTTAGGCTGAAAGATCGGAAGGATATTTGATTGTATGTGTCAGCACCACAGGTGCACTATCCCTGTCCCCACAGGTGAGCAGCTGCTGCTACTCTTAGTTCTGTGTCTCCTTCTTCTTGTCTTAACTCAGTTTTCAGTATTTTCTTTTTTTTTTTTTTTTTCTTTTTTCCCTCTGGGCTCCAGTTAAATCTCTGCTATGCTTGTATTAAAGTTTTCTAGCACTTTTTAAATTGAATCCCCCACCAGCAAAGATGATAGTGGTATTTCTGTCCTTTCTCTGAGAAGGAGCTCTGCCAGGGGAGGGACAACTGGGGGTTCGGGACAGGGTCTGTACCAGAGGGCAGTGGGCACGGAGCAGGCTGCCAGGGCAGTGGGCACAGCCCCAAGCTGATGGAGTTCAGGGAGTATTTGTATAACATAGGGGTTAGGTTTTAGGTAGTTGTGTGGAGCCAGGAGTTGGTCTTGATGATCCTCATGGGTCCCTTCCAACTTGAGGAGAGAGGTTTACTTGTGCCTGTTTGGGATTATACCAAGACTGGTGCTTTGCTTTGGTCTCATTTGGTATTCCATCACCCTCTGTCTCCTCATTAAGTGCTGAATTGATTCCTGAAGTCTTCAGTTTCTCTTCATTTGTTTCATTGCCAAAGGTTTTAGGGGGGGATTTGTTACAACTGCTTATTTAAGAAGACCATCCTGGGTACACCTGGCAATCCATACTTACGGATTAAAAGAGTTAGAAGTGTGGTTTGAGTATTTCTATAGTCTGGCTTTTAATAATGTCAAAGCTTTTCTTTGTTTCATGTTTAAGATTAATTTTTGTTTACAAATATATTGAAAGCCAGATCATGGAAAATGATTGTGTGTTAATTCTAACTAAAATGTGCTAATGGAAAAATGAATGAAGTCTTTAATGTGATGTAGAACAATGCTGTAGTAGGCAATCTAAAATTATTAAAACAAATTTTTATTGGAATGTGAGGAAGGGGAGCTGCCCATCCATTCTGAACAGAAGTATGTCTTTTTTTTTTTTTTTTTAAATTGGTGTCATATTTTTTTCCCCCAAAAATATAGAGGATCAAATTCTTCCATTTTGAAGAATGAGGATGTAAATGTCTCTTATTTGGGGGGTTGAGGGGATGGGCGCATTCACAGATTTCCTGAAGACACTGTTCCTCAGTTCAATTCCATTGGAGTTTCTGAGGAGATGTTTGCCACATCTGAGTGCAGCCATGGGGCCTTTGTTGGCAGCTAATTTCATGTTAAAATATGATCACAATGAGATGTGCTGGTTTTTGAAGAGGCATTGTGCCTTCAGAGTATGGGTACATTCCTATGTGTGTTCTGCATTTTACCAATACACGGGCATGAAAGCCACACTGTGGAGCCAGTTCTCCCAAAAATGTGCTGTGAGAGATGTGGCCTTTTATTAGCAGGCTCTGGGGTGTACAAAGAGGATGTAACACACTGGGTCTTTGTATTGCATTGTAAGGAAAGAAGGGAGTGAATGCTTTAATATCCCTCCCCAATTTATAGTCTGTAAGGACTGTGCAGAGGTATAAAGGCCAGCAGGTTTCAGATAAACTATTGGCCTTTGGGCATGGCATGAAAGTGTGTAGACACTGCCCTTGAGCATCCCTTTGATATGCTGAGCTTCCCAGGCTTAGCCCGGGCTTTCAGATCTTGCAGTGGATAACAGGCTGTGTGGCTGGATGTTGGAGATAATAGCGTTCATTTGGCACCTGTGGAGCTGCTGGATTTCCTGGAAAGCTTTTTGTTCTGAGTGAACAGAAGATGGGTGCAGGGTGGCAAGGGTGTCAGTGTGAGGGGCCTGGGCTGAGCTCTGCCAGCTGTGTGGGAACGCACCTGGAGAAGGAGGAGGTGGTGCTGGCCCTTCCAGGTGTCGCTCATTCACAGGGCAGATGTTTGTTCCAAAATAAGCCTGGTTCCCTTGGAGTTGCCCTATAGTGCACATCTTCCACTGCTCTCAGTTCTGCCTAAATATTGGCACCATCTTCATCCACAGCTGTTTTTATTTATGTGCGATTTTAAGAAATCATTATCTTCTTTCTCCTTCCTGTTTCCTATCTGGGCGAAATAAAAGGTTGCAGGAGGGTTGTGAATGTGATGCTGGATTCTGGAAGTGGTGCGGGTTGTGGTCCCTCTGGTATCCTGTGAAGGCACTTTTCACAGAGTGGAGTCGTCTGCCAAAGGAACTTCATCACTTGCTCTCATAAGTTTTACCTCTGCAATCATTTGATGCTCCTAAAATTTCAAAATAAAATGGGAAACAGTGGCTGTGTGATGCATGAGAAAGCCATACAACTTTCTCAGGTGCCCCCTATAAAGCATGCCAAACCCTTAAGCTGAAATTTTGAATGGTTGTTCAAAAGAAGAAATATATTGCTAGTCCACCTCCATCCTTAAATAGACTTATGGCGTTCATACTCTCTGCTCTACAAAAGCAGTTTTGACACTTCTGTTCAGGGTAACGTAGGAGCTCAGTTTAGTTAGGTGGTCAATAATTCCAGCTGCCATTGGACTTCACAGTGAGATGTGATAATATCTCAATTTGACACCAGTTTTTCTCACTGTTTTGAAATCTGTCAGATAATTTGTCATATTGAGTCCAAATTTATGAGTCATAGCCATTTCCTAGACAAGATTATTGCATATCCTTCCATCTGTCTCTTAGTAAACCGAAATGCTACTGCTCAGCAATACCGTATTTGAAAGAACCACAAAATGGTTTGAGTTGGAAGGGAACTTAAAGCCCATCCACTTCAACCCCCAGTCGTGGGCAGGGCTGCCCCACACCAGATCAGACTGCCCAGGGCCCCACCCAGCCTGACCTTGAACACCTCCAGGAATGGGATATCAGCATTTCTTTTGAGTTACTGCATTTCTTGACTTCAAGTCCTGTTGACCACCCGTTTTGCTTGCTTAGGATTCCGGAGAAGTGATGGATTGCCAGAAATAAGTATTAAAGTTCTTGTAACTTCTGTTTTTCCTGATGCCAGGACTACGAGGGA